AACGTACATAGTGAGAGACATAGCTATTCAGTCTGATACAGAGGAACAACCATGCATGCAATGAAAATAGTTCTAATTTTAAAGATAGTTTCTCATGTTAAGGGAAACACATATTCAATGTTAAGAAGCAAGGCAAATGAACAAAAATAATAGTAACCAAATTAGGAGACTGAAATTCCTTCAGTTTACTTTGAACACTATCTACTCCTTTTAGAGGTATGCTTTCTGCATCAATTTATGCACATGAATTGGGACATGTTCAACTGCTTGACTTTACATGTATGAGCACTATGTAAACAGCCCTGTGCTAGCTTCTGCTATAGGTAATTCCTGCCTACAAAAATCCCTTAGTTATTCTTAGTATAGAGATTCTATACATTTAAGAGAGGAGACTTAAATTTTGCATTTTGCTCAAGTAAACTGGCTCAGTTAATTATTATGTTATTTTCACTATAATAGTATGTCTAGCTTTGTGCTCAGCATTCAAAGCCCATTAGGCAATGAAAAGCAATGTAAGAGAATACGGATTCCAGCAATTACACTGAGGGTGAAAAGAACACTCACTTATACTCTCTCCATCATCCCAGAACAGAGTTCCTTGTGCCATGTGATTGTCATCTGCCGCAACAATAAGCTTCATGAAATTCTTTCGGCTGCAAGAGAGAAATACTTCATTCTAAGTTTTCAGCGTAATAAACTTTTGATATGATATCAATATAACTATCAATGAATAAGAATGGCAGCTAAGAAAACAAATGTTTTAACAAAGAAAACTAAGATCTTGCCTCCTATAAAATGAGACAAGAATGACACAGACCATAAATTTATCATATTCAATATAAAATATTGTGCATCCCATTTTGCGGTAAGAGTTCATTAATTAGTGAAACCCCTTTTCATAGTAATTGAAGGCATTATGTTTACTGATATCCTTACTTTCCTGCCTTGTAAATAAGCCCTTAAGAATTACTCTTTTTTATTAAGATTATTTCTATTAAATGTTCAAAATTCAATTTAAAAATATACAGAAAAGCATTGCTGTCTTAATCTCTCCTCTCTCCTCTCCTCTTTCTCTCTCTCTCTTCTCTCTCTCTCTGTCCTCCCTCCCTCTTTTTCATAGTTCTGTGTGTCAAACACAAAGAGTTTTGTCCATTCAGTGTCCTACCATTGCTTTTCAGCCTTAGCCTTATTAATGGAATTTTCACTCTTCTGAGCATAAAATTTCCTCAAAATTTCACATAAGTATCATTGTTTGTTAATAAAATTACATACAGCAATCATAAAGCTCTAAGTTCTGTCTATATAAAGGTTAATGTTTTCCTAGCTCCTGTCTATATAAGGTTTATTTGTAAACTAAACACAGAACACTCTATAGCAATATGTGGACAGTAACTCAGTTTGACAGCATCATATTGTTAAAGAAGGATTTCTTGGGAAATTATTTTTTCTATATTCCTCTTATACTCACAGATGTTGATGTACCTTCATGAAGTATTCTAACATAGTCATAAATTGTATCTTGCAACTGAAGAGATGCTAACATTTTCTTTCTTTTTTTTCTTTCTCTTTCTCCTTCCTTCGATTACTCCTGTCTTTCTTTCTTTTTCTGTTTTTTTGTTGTTGTTGTTTTGTTTTGTTTTGTTTTGTTTTTTTGAGACAGAGTCTCACTGTAGCCCCAGCAGGCTTAGAACTCACTCTGTAGACCAGGCAACCTCAATCTCACAGAGACCCACCTGCCTCTGTCTCCCAAATGCTAGGATTAAAGGCGGGCACCACCTCTCCAGGCCCCAGTCAGCATTTCTTTTGAAATTATTTTTTAAAGCGTTTTTTGCAAGACTGTGTCAGATCTTAAAATTATTGCAAATGTTACTGCTCAGTATAATAAAGATAATGATTTTTTCCCAGTGAAGCATGGATACATTTGCTTGCATTCACAATAACATACTCAGCACCCCTAAATTTGGTGTTGCTCAACTGTGATACTAACTTCTACAAGTGCAGCATCTGTATGGACAACTTTATGTCATCCCAGTGGGACTTGGGTGAAAGGAAAACGGAAGTTCACCAAGAGCTTCTCTTTCTGTTACGTTATAAATATCAAAGCCCTCCTTTGATGACTAAGCATCTATGAGGCAACAAAAGACTCACAGGTAAAACTCAAATTCTTTCTACTTAAGTCTCCAATGAAGTGTAGTGGACAATGTAATCAAAGCTCTAAAGACAACCCAGTTACCTGAGAACTGTGTTTTGAGCAGGTTCTTGACATGGTAAAATGTAGCCACCTCGGACATGTAGGTTTATTGTATCAAAAGGGGCTTCAAATGTGTATTCTTGCTCCCTAATGCCTATATCTTCACCCTGGAAGTGGATATGAGGACCAGGACAGGAAACAGAATCATCAGCAAGACTAGAATTTAAGAGGCACATTTATGAAATCAAACAGTTAACTTTTAGTTTAAAAAAACAAAATAATATCTTTTTAAAATAAAAAGCATATCTATAGATCTTGGCTCCACTTAAGTTATTTTAGTTGCTATTTGCTTTTTGAAAATTTTGCAAAAAATAATACATAGATCTTGCAAAGTCACAAAAGATGTCCCTGACTTCCAGGTATGTTGTTGTGTGGAGAAGTGCACTACTTTATGTAAACCAAAATAGGCAATGACTTTTGTAACATAGTATACATTTTTGTTTATTTGCTCAAATAGGTAGCTGGGTAACACACTAAAGCAGAATAAATTAACTCATTCATGGTACATTTATTAGATTTCACAGCAATTAAGAAATAATTCACTTGGGCTGGAGAGATGGCTCAGCAGTTAAGAATACTGGTTGTTCTTGCAGAGGACCAGAGTTCGAATCCCAGCACCCACATGGCAGCTAACAACTGTCGTAACTCCAGTTCCAGGGGATCCGACAGCCTCTTCTGTCTTCTGTGGGCATTGCATGATACGGGCGCACTTACCTACATGCAGGCAATACATGCATACATATAAAATAAAATAATAAAATATTTTTTAAAAAGAAATAATTCACTCTGAACTTCTAAGTGGAAAATAAACATCATTGGTCATACCAGTAGGTCAGTAAAATATTAGCTACTTCTAATTAGTCAACTTCCCAGAAATCTTTGAAAACTTACAGTATGGTAGTCAAACCACCGAGCATTGGGGACATAGCCGGTTACACTGGTCTGGTCCTGGAATTGAAAAAGAAAATCATTGAAATCATACGATCTAAAAACCTATCATTTTGTCAATAAAACATGTGTTAAGACTTACAGGATGAAGTACAGGTGTCACCATGAAAGCTGGGCCCCACAAGAACTGCCTGTAGATATCCCAGGTTTTCTTTTCATTAAAAAACCTTTATAAAAGAATTATAGAATATGAAATTAAATCAAAGAACTTAATCTCTTATGAATACCACAATATGCTATTCAGATGACATTTTGCAGATAGATTTTTTTGTGGATTTAATTAAAACAAGGCTCAAAAATATTAACAGCAGTATGTCAGCTGGCATATAGTCACTCATGTTTGATAAGTAAAACTAAACTATGGCTAAATATTCTAACAAAAAGCAGAGGATTTTTAAGGAATTCAATTGTTACTCACTTTAGAAAAGCATTCAGAGGAATAATTACTTTTTTCTTGCAATTGATCAACAAAGCTAGAAATGTAAAACATGTAATATAGATTTTTTTTTTTTTTACTTTAAAATACTTTTCAAGAATGGGCATGTTGGGTCACATCTGTACTACCAATACACGGGACCTGATTCAGGAAGATTGCTATTAGATCGAGAACAGTCTGAGCTATAGAGTGAGTTTTAGACCTACAGAGTGAAACTTTGTTTCAGAAATCAAAAATAATTTTAGAAGTAAAAGAGTCAAGGTTGGTGCATGAACATAAGGAAACAGAGTCTTTCAGGCCTCTGGGAACTTGCTCATATAAACTTGCAACAATGGTGACAGCATGCACAAGACCCATGCAGACTCAATCACACAAACCCAACATAGAACTGGGGAAATCGCAGCAGGCCCCAATCTTAGCTGAGGAACTCTAGGCAACTGATTACTGTGGGATAAGGGATTGTTGGTCTTCTTTAAAGGACTGACTCTTAGACAGGCTGACTAGATTCCAGTGGATGAACTTGCACCCGGGGACATCTGGATACAAATGCTTGACGAGATAGGCCTTAGCATATGTGACAGAGTGCATGAAATCTGGTGTTGGGTGCTGTGGGTGAATGAGAGACATCTAAATTTAATTAAGATCTATTATACAAAATCCAAAAAACTCAATAAAATATACATAAAAAAGAAATAGAAAAGAATTTTCAACAAGGCACAGTTGTAGTGTAGAGCTATCACCTCAACAATCAAAACATGAAGGTAAAAGAATAGAAGACATACTGCACTGGGAGTCTATATTTCAAAAAACTAAAATTTAAAATGACAGAGAGAAAGGTAGATATGAGAGAGAGAGAAAGATTTCTTATCTTTAGAGC